TAACATAATGATCTGGGGCTGTGTGTCACCTCTACATCTCAAACTTCGATGTGATCACTGGGATCTTGTTAAAGTACAGATTATGATTCAGTAGGTCCTGAAATTCTGCATTTCTAAAAAGCTCCAAAGTCATGTTGATGCTGCTAGTCTGCTGAGAAAGGTTTACATTATCTGAGAGGCAGTATTCTACAGGAGCTAAGTGGGTCCATTCTTTAGCCATACTGCCTAGATTAGAAGCCTGGCTCTGCCCACTTACTAGCTGTATAATTATGGGAAGATTAATGAACTTCTCTGTGTCTCAGTTTCCTCATCTGAAAAATGGGAATAGTGTTAACTTCCTCCTAGTGTTGTGAAAACTACACATGTTGATTTATATGAAGTGTTTAGAAAAATCAATAACATTGTTAATTGTATATATTATCAAGTTTGCCATATCAAATATATCTGTGTGTTTTTGACTGTCTACAAAATACCTATGTGTTTTTTTTATTGGTATCTGTGTATTAGAGTTGTTTAAAAAGGGACAAAGTGACTATTGAATTTTATGTAGTTGTTCCACTTTTTCACATAACCCTTGTCACAGAATAATATGGTCTTATATTCTGGGCATTTTTCACTTAGGATGAGTGTAGCTGATGAGGCTGATGTATTCTTGGATTTTTCTCAATGAGGATTCACCTAGGCTGGGTCTTTTACTAGGGTCTATTGAGAATGAATTGGAGTAGTAAAGTTGAGCTTCAAGGGAATCATCTAGACAGATTAGTCAAAACATAGTCCGGTTTATATATGTAATCTCAATGCAGCCTCAAGAAATCCTTGTGGCATAATTAATAATAATCCCTATTTTATTCATTAGAAAACTATTACAGGAGTGGGTTAAGTAAATTGTTTGATGTAACCTAGCCAGCACATGGCAATGATGGATTATTAATATAAGTATGTCTGAATCTGGTATCAAGTAATTTAGGCAGAATTCATCACTCCTATACCAAGAGTTTTAAGTGTTAAAAATATTTGTGAAAGTTTTCTCTTATATCCAAAATGTTTTATATTCAGTATTCTAATTTTTCTGGTGATCCTGAGCTCCCTTGAGGACATCGGTGGCACTAAAGAGAGGCTTACACAGAACTGGTGCCTTGAACTCAGTTTCCCTCCACCTCCCTGGAGGCTGCTCAGGGCAGACTCAGAGTGGAAGGAGAATTGTCCACGTGGACCAGAGGCTCTCACCATGGAATGATTCTGGAGGACTTGAGAGTGTGGCTACAGGTTCTATTTAAGCTCTGAGAAATGTGGAAAATGTCATGGGGGGTCAACAGTTGACCCTGACCCTTTTCTCTCAGGTGCAATATCCAAAGGGCTATTCTATTTCTCTCGCTTGTCACTGAGCTCTACTTTATGTGTAAAGGAAGGTTAGATCCCAGATCTTTGTTGGGCTGCCTTTCTAAACCTTGGATAAAGTCTTTCTCCATGGTCCCATTGTTAGCAGTTACTACATGTCTGATGTTTGCCTGTAGTGCTACTACAGGTCTTTTTTGACACATTAGTTTTGAAAATTGTTTTTAATAGCAGGTCCTTTGGACAGTAAGGACCTGGAAGGCAGAGACCATATCTTGTCACATTTATCTTCCCCAAACCAATCATATGGCCTAAAACTGTGTTTATTAAATGAAGAATGAGTTGGGAAGTCAGATTCTGAAGAAGTGGCTTGCTTAGAATATTTTAATCAGGAATGAACTTTATGCTTTTTTGCCTATACTCCTACAGAGCCACATTTTTTTTTTGTAATTATATACCAAGAGGGATAATTGTACAGTTTGAGTGGAATTGTTTTTATTTTCTTTTTAACATATTGATAACAAATATTTTTTATAATGGGCACATTTGGGATAGAATATATCTCTCAAAATATGAATAGCTAAATTCTGTGACTTAACTTTGTCGTATATTATGAATAATAGAGCTCCTGAGAAAATGAGCTATATTTTCATGTATTTGATGGAGCAGAATATGGCAGGGAAAGAGCAAAATCTCTTTCATCTGGATGTTCATCATCCTAAACCAAATCTTCATCAAACCTGGGTGGAGATAGCATGGGGAGAAATGCCAGATATAGGTGAAGGAGAGGAAGGCAGCAAATCACACTGCCATGTGTGTACCTATGCAACAATCTTGCATGTTCTTCATGTGTAACCCAAAACCTAAAATGCAATTAAAAAAAAAACAAACCTGGGTGGAAGAGCTATTAGTAAAACTCTTGGGAGTTTTCTTTGAGACCCATGTGGTGTGGCTTCTGATGAACTATTAATCTGGAGACTTCCATAAATGTAAACAAAGTGGCCATAGGACAGTCCTCAGAAGGCAAAAGATGAAAGAATGCAAACAAATCTGGCTCATTTGCAGTTACTGTGATACCTTGTGGAAATAAAATTAAAAGCTAGAGTACAGTGGCTTTAAAGCAAGATCCTAGTTTACCCTAAATAGTTGTTAATGCCAAAAAAAAAAAAAAAATGTTTCCAGCTGCTGGATATTCTAGATCTTCACTCTGGATTCCAATTATTTAAGAGACCACAGAGCCTTTGTCACCAGGGCAGAGCCATTTGCTCTGATAAAGGGAAACAAGATCTTACAAAGAACATTGTTGTTGTGAACTAGTTTCCTGAAGACATGTCCTTCAACACAAAAAGAAAGAAGAAAAAAGAGAGAAGGGACAAGCAAATTGTTATCATCTTTGATTTTTCCTATGTCTTCACCATATCTTTTTGTAAATATTTTAGAGTAGTCAGGCATGGTGACTCACATCTGTAATCCCAGCACTTTGGGAGGCTGAGGCAGGAGAATTGCTTAAGCCCATGAGTTCAAGACTAACTTGGGCAAAATAGCAAGACCCCATCTCTATGAAAAAAATAATAAATTTTTTAAAGGTTTTAGAATCATGTTAATATACTTTCTTTTTCATAAATCAGTTAATCTCAGAGCTCCTTAAGTTCACTCTCACATACTCTTATTTGCAAGAATACTGTAGTAGATGATAATATGATTTGATGACAACTGTTTATCTCCCACCCTTGCCATGATTTAGTCATAGTGTACTTCCTATACTTCCCCCCACACTGTTGACTTTGCTCTTGGCCATATGACTAGCTTTGACCAATGAAATGTGAGGGGATAACAAGCATGCCACATCAAAGCAGAAACTAAATATATTCACGTAGTTTGGCTCCCTCTATTTCTGTTCTGCATGTATCATATAATAGTCACTCTTACAGCTTCTAACTCATAATACAGAGTCAGTTCTGCATAGTTCAGAATGAAAAGATGTCTCATAGAATAGACCTGCTGCTGTGTCTACTTGCAACCAGGAGCACAGCCCCAGAGCCTCAGAAATGCAGCGGATCCACAATTAACATACCATAGACATAAATTTGTAGTTGTGAGGACTGACATTTTGAGATGGTTTCCACTGAGCCTTACCAGTCAGAATTGACTGATATACAGGTCATATCCACTCTCTATCTTTCAAAGATTTCTCATATTTAATCACGCCTTTTCAATATCCTTATTACTATCCTGATCCAGATTCTCATTATTTCTTACCTGGATAATTGGAATATCTTCTTAAGTATATCCTCTGCCACTTAGTTTAGACCTCTCCAATCTATTATCACCTCTGGATAACAGATTTATCATCTGCTAAAACACATGTGTGATTAGATCACTAACCTATTTTAAGACTTTCCACAGCTCTTCATTACCTAAAAGTAAAACTCAAGGTTTATTTGACCATCAACATCATTACTCCCAGTAACTTTTTATCCTCAGTCCTAGCATTGCCTCCAGATCTCTAAACTTCAGCCCATCAGATGACCTCACTCTAACACCTCCTGCTTTTATATGTTATTCCTTTATAAACTTGGCAAAATTCTATGCAATCATGAAGGCCCAGTAAACACAATATCCTTTTAAAAAGATTTTTCCAAGTAATCTATTAATAAATTATAGCTATTCCCTCCCCCTCTTCGAGCATTTTATAGTTTTGCAATAGCACAAACCCACCATGTTATGAATATTTTTTGGTTCTTTTTTCCTCTCTAGCTCATGCTCCTCAAAGAGAGAAACCCTTTTGTATTCATCTCTTCAGTTTCAGCTGTTATTAACAATCCATGCCATGGAAGAAGCACTCAGAAAATGGGCCTACAGCTTGGCCCTAGTGTACTTTGACAACGGCCCTGATTAAACAAGAGCTGGTTTATGCTTAGGTATGCTGGAAACAGTTTACTGCAGGGATACTTGAGGTACCTCTAGTTCATTACATCCCTCAGGCCAATTCTTGACTATATTTCCTTTTCTTATACCTGGCAGTTCTTACTTAGAATGCAACCCCAGGCATGACTCCAGTCGCACTGTTCTGGATTCCATCCTCTTTGTAAACTGCGGCAGAATTTTTCTTCTGACTGAAAGGAAATTTAGTATGGGAAATATGCAGGAACTGTGCAGGGTGCAGGGTTTATGTGTCTTGTTCTGAATGCTATCTTGGGTAATTGCCCCTCTGGAGGTCTGGTTGGTGTTATCTTGACTTTGGCCTGGTGGTGGTGAACAAACTGTTCACAAGTCCCCCTAAGCTTGAGGATTCCACAATGGAGACTGTGCCTGGTTTGTTTCAAGGTTAGCCTCTGGGATTTCTTAAGCAAGAGAATAATTAGACAAGCATGCGTTGCTGAGAAGGAGTGTCCAGAGGGGAAGAAGTGAACAGATGAGAGGGGAGGGAAGGAAGAAAAAGGAAGTGGGTGAGGTCCCCAGTTATATTTCTACTTTAATCTTGATATTCACGCATACCAAATGCAATTGGGAGAAACAGAGCATTACTGGAAATAAATCACTTTTCTATCTCTCCACAGGAGGGTAGTATTTCAAAAGGCAACACACGCTTTGGATTGAAGGAAGGGGAGGGTGGAGAGCGAATGATTCCATTGGCTGCCACACTGAGGCTCCTGCCTTTCTACGGAACTCAAAGTGGGTGGCATCAAGGCTCTTCTAGCTCAGAGAAGACTGTTCCAGGAGGGTCTCTTTCAGAAGCAGCTAAAGTCACGGGCCATGTCCACCATGTGATAGAAAGACAAGATGGTTCTGAAATTCTCCGTGTCACTTCTTTGGATTCAGTTGGCATGTGAGTTGAAAGGTTCCAATTAACAGAAAATCCTAAGGAGATGGAAAATCCCCGATGGCAAGTTATTTTATGGCAAAGTATAAAAGGAGGAATTATGAAAGAAGGAAGAAAGGGGGAAGTAAGGGAGGGAGGAGAAAAGAGTAAGGAGGAAGGAAAAAGCATTTCGGGTTGGGAAAGAATCCCTAATTCCCTTTCCTGGTGCCTTCTGCTTTGTTTCTAAACAGGGGTGAGCGCCCAGCAGCTGGAGCAGAGCCCTTGGTTTCTAAGCATCCAGGAGGGAGAAAATGTCACTATGTACTGCAACTCCTCAAGTGTTTTTACCAACTTACAATGGTACAGACAGGACCCTGGGGAAGGTCCTGTCCTCCTGGTGAAATTAGTTAAGGCTGGAGAACTGAAGAAGCAGAAGAGACTAATCTTTCATTTTGGTGATGCAAGAAAGGACAGCTCTCTGCACATCACTGCGGCCCAGCCTGGTGATACAGGCCTCTACCTCTGTGCAGGAGCACAGTGCTCTTGAGGCACCTGCTGCCTGCACCCAAACCTTACTGCCAGCCCCAGTCACACGACTGCCACATGCCTCCAGTTCCCCCTCACACAGCTTATGGCATGAATAGAGATAACAACCTGATCTCCTTAAGGAACCATTTGCAGAAAACATTTTCCACACTCACTGGAGGACAAGACCCCTCTGCTATAACACAAATATCTGGAAATGGAGCCTGCTATTAGGATCATTAAATGATATGGGCCTGGCACTCCCCAGGGTAGGTAGGAGCAAAGAGTTGAAATGGAGGGACAAATGGAAGCTATGGGACAGACCGTTTCTGAGTGTTCCACCCCTGTGTAGAAACAAGGAAAGGAACTAGGGATTCTTTCCCAACCTGAAATGATTTTTTCTTCCTCCTTCCACCTTTCTCACCCCCTCATTCTCTCTCTCTTCCTTTTTCCCTCAATTCTTCCTTTCATACTTGGCATCAGGGATTTCCCTTCTCTTTAGGATTTTCTGTTAATTTAACTGGGAACATCTTCAGCTGGTGGCATGTCAATTAAATCCAAAGGATCAACATGGAGAATTTCAGCATACATCATGGTTCAGATTGATCATTCCGTTTTCCTTAAGACAACAGCCAGGAATCCTTTAGTACAATGGGGCAGAAATGGATGGTTTCACAGCTTTCTTGTAGTACTCTGGAGATGACGAAGCTGCTGTTTCCAGACTCTTCCACTCCAGTAAAGAGCAGAAGTATCATTTTAAAAATTAGAAGAAACTTACTCTTTTTTTTGGAAGAAAGATGCTGAAAGTATACTTCAATGGCACCCAACTGTTGTTTCAAAACAATATCCCAGTTGGTGGTTCAGAAAGTGACCAGACACTAACTACAATGGCCTGTATGTGCACAGGACTGGCTTAGGAATGAGACTTTGAATGGCAAATATAAATAACTTCACGTGTTCAAAGCTGAAGAAGAAAGAAGTTGGCAGTTTCCTCCACATGGCAAGCCCTCCACTGACCCATTTCATACTTGAAAAATTTGTATGTGTTCTGTAAAGCAAGATGATATAGCACAATGCACATGAGTTTTTGAGTTTTGACATCAGAATAACTTAGATTAAAATCTCATTTTTGTAATTTTCTAGCTCTGTGTCCTTGGGCAATTATTCACCCTCACCTACATTTCCTTATAAATTAATGTTAATAAGAATATCTATCTTGCAGAGTTGCTATGATTTAAATGAGACAAAATATATAAAATTGTCTGAAGTTCCAGGGATAGCATGTATACTCAATAAATGTCCCTAAAATAATATTGTTATTGATGCTCCCATGTAAATGTCACCCCTACAGTGGAATTTTCTCTGACTACTTAAGGCGGAATGAGTTATTCTCTTTCTAATACTCTGAGTCTTCACCAGAGGAGTCAGGAACGCAGACACTGCAAGTTGCCAACCTAATCACAGTTCTCTTCTACCTCCTTATTAACAAAACCTTCAATTTTTATTTGAGCAACAATATGTCCAGCTTAAAGAAAGCTCAACACTACATATTACCCTCTCTTGCAGCAAGGGATTGCCATATACATATAGAACAGTTCTGACCCATGAGGTGGGACCAGAAATCTGCTAGGGCCTTCCCATAATGTTTTTTTTTTTCTCTCTCTCCTGGTACAAGTACACATCCCCCTAATCCTCCTTGTCTCTTTTTAAAACATGGAAATGATAACTTTACCATAAATGAAAGCACATACCTAATCCCCTTTCCCTATCCCATGCCTGGTAGTCTTTTAGATGCCAAGTCAAATCCAACCCCCAGATTTATTTTGCATGAACATTTTTAATAAATCATATGTGGTTGAGGTTTTTTTTTTTGCTTGTAGCTAAACACAATTCTAACTGTAGTAAGACTGACATAAAATGACTTTTTGTGTATGTCTGTGTGTAAGAGCAGGAAAAGATATATAAACAAATTACTCTGTTGATACCCACATGGGGCCTCCATTTATATTGATCATATCTATTTCTTAAAGTATTAATGGTCCCATAATTTTTATGAAGGAAAAAATACTTCACCTTTCATTTAGAGAGGACTCATTATTAAATTTCCATACCAATTTCTTATCCTCATGGAAGATTGTGGAATCCAGCTTTTATCCTAAAGTCTTTTAACCACAGACAATTTTCATGCAAATAATAATTGTAGCCTTACATTTGTCTTACTTTTATATTACAAAAGTTATTTTTCTTATTTTCTTAACTTTACTCTACCCAGTAATTCATTTTAAAAGCATCCCCTAAAAATTTTATCACATTAAACTCCTTCATTCTGAAAATTTTAAAGGCAAATACAAATAAAAATAAGAAAACAATTCTCTCTGATGCTAAAAGAGAAAGACACTCTCCGCTCCCTTTTCTTAGAGCACTTATTTTAGAAAATTTGTAATTGTGAGTTCTTTTTTTTCTATCACTTTGAAACGTAGGTAAATCTTTTTAAAAGCTAAATAAACCTCCTGCCAGTTTTACAACCAAGGAGTGTCTTTCTCAAGGACCTGAGAGCAATTTTTTGGAAATGTAATCACGCAGGGAAGTAGTGCCCTAATACAGTTTTAGTGGAGGATAGGAGCCTAAATTCAGCTGATACTTTGTTGCCAGTTGCAAACCAACCTCCAGTAGGAAAAATATGAGAAATGTTTCCTTTGCATGAAGGCAATTACAAACAAGTGGCTACCTCAATTACCAGGTAAATAGAGAATGAACTATGTATGACAAATGGTGCCATCAAGTCCTCTTTCTTAAGGACTAGTTATTGTTTATCTTGAGAAATTGTAGACAATCAGTGCTATATAAAAGGATAAGATTTATTTCTTTCTTTGTAATCTATTTAGTGGATTGCCTGTGAGATGCATCACAGTCTGGTTTAATGCTTATTCAATAAAACTTTTTTTTTTCTTTTTGAGACAGAGTCTCACTCTGTTGCCCAGACTGGAGTGAGCGGCACAGTCAGGGCTCCCAAAGTCCTGGGATTACAGGTGTGAGCCACCATGCTTGGCCAAAAATGTTTTCTTTCTCTTTTACCTTTGTAGGAAGGTGTTACGGGTTGGCAGGAGATTCTGTTTTACTTCCTTAACAAGATATCCCAGGGTCTTTCCACAATTACTGGGCTTACATGTCTCTTTTTGAAAAGTGCCATGACACTATGAAAAGAGCAAGGGTTTCTCATGGCTCTGCCCCTTATTGGCTGTGTAAATTTGGGCATATTATATTAACTTCATGATCATCAATTTCCTCATAAGTACTACAGGGAGTAAGTATAAATACTTAATTTACAGTATTATTGTGAAGATAAGCAATGTTTTTGGAAATGCCTAGCATAATGGACTTAAAAATTAAAAAATTGAAATTGGGGCCATAGCTTCCATAAGGTACACTCAAAACCTCATTTGTGCCCTGATATAGGTTTTGAGCCAGGAATATGAGTAAGAGTTAAAGAAAGAGGAAAGAAAGATGAAACGTGGCTTGGCAGTTAAAGACAAGTTTACTGCAGGTGAAACCAGAGAGGGACTTCTGGCAGTTTTCAGTCAGGAGCGCTTTCTCTTACAGACTAAGAGTATATATTGGTTTTAGGATGAGGGGACTTATCATAAGCTTGAAATGCTTATGTGTAGAGGAGAAGTTTATGGCAAGGTTGGAATCTCTCTGGGAGGAGGGGAGGTTATCTTGGGGCTGACAGCTTTCTGGCAAGAGGGAGGTTGTCTCGGGTTGGCATCTTCCTGGCCAGAAGGGGTTATCTCAGGGCTAGCATATTCCTGGTTGGGGAGGAGTTTGGAAAGTTTCTGGTTGGAGATGCTATTTGTGGTTTATGGTCATGCTGACCTTAGGCATTAGGCTGGTGCCCTTTGGATTTAGGAGGATTTTTATTAAAGTGAACTTTAGAATGAGGGGCTTGTCCAAGATGGCAATGCTCCTGCTCTGTCAATGTGGAAAGGACACAGTCCCTGCTTCCAAGGAACTCACTCTGATGGTAATAGACAACCATAGGCTTGCTCCCATAGCCATCATTCTCCAGGGGCTATAAGTTGGAGAATACTCTGACCTACAACCTCCATCCAGAGCAATAATTTCTGAGAGAAATTGGACATTCTCCATGCTCCTGAATCACTGTGTGCCTTCCTGAAAACACACTGCTGATGCTTAAGACCAGACTCAGGCACCTCCCCTGGGTGGGACATCTGCCTTACTGCAGAAGTGGTGTTAGCTCTAGGGGGTACTCTAACCTGAGAAAAGACTCTTTGGGCTGTCAGGAGGATTGACGGGTGAATGGAGAATAAAAATCTCTGAAACAAGAAAAGGGCTAACAATTTAGGCTGAGGGTGGGGGATCAGTAGCAAGAGGGTATATGGACCATAAAATTTTTAATAACACACATGATCCTGCTTTCTTATCACCAATTCTGTTTTATCTCTAAGAGCCAAAATGAAGTTTGAGATTTAAAGAAGAAAATTTAACATTTATTTAATTATAGTTTCATGTATTAATTTATTTTAGTATCAGGAACCAATATGAGACTTGATCTGTTTGTCCAGAAATTATTTCTAATCTCTGATCACTGTTCTTATCTAAACCATGCCTATAGGCACAGAGAGTAGAAGAATGATTACCACAGGCTGGGAAGGGTAGTGGGGGGCTGGGAGGCAGGTGGGAACGTTTAACAGGTACGAAAAATAGAACAAATAAGGCTTACTATTTGATAGCACAAGAGGGTGACTATAGTACATTTTAAAATAAAGAATAAGTGAATTGTTTGTAACTCAAAGGATAAATGCTTGAGGGGATGAGTACCCCATTCTCATGATGTACTTATTTCATATTGCATTCCTATATCAAAACATCTCATTACTCCATAATATATGCACCTACTAAAGTACTCACAAAAATTAAAAATTAAAAAAAACTCAAGGCCATTAAAAATTTTTTTAAATGCAAATTGAGAAAATATAAGGTGGAGCTGGGAAGAAAAGGATAGAGAAATAAAGGTAAGAAG